ATTTTCATTTTTGGGTGAACTATCCCTTTAAGAGTTTCACATGCACATCTTAAATGACTTGTGCTTTTATCACATTTGACGCATAAAAGATGGCTTAACATGATTTAAAACAAGACAAAATGTGCTTTGAAATATGCTAAAATGACATAAACTGACCTCATAATAGGTCATATTTTATTTTGCTGCCTCAACAACCATCATATTTAAGAACCAGGATTCCCACAGTCTTGGAAATAAAACTTGGCTAAATTAGGGTGTGATTTCTAGACCGGGAAAACTCAACTCACAAAACTAAAAATATATAGGTCATGGAAATTGATATGATGAATATACTTTTTTTTTATTATTATGTTAAACTCTTAAATATTTTATTAGGTTGAAATTGCTAAGAAATTGCTATTTGTATTTGTAAACAATAATAATAATAATAATAGCTATATTTCAGTAGCTATTGATCATAATAATAATCAATAGCTACTGAAAAATTCATTCTGAAATTATAGAATTTAATTATTATTGTTGTTGCTGTTATATAAATTATATAATTATTTTGGTAAATTCCCCCTTGAAAACATACAATGTATAAATAAAAACATACAATGTATAAATAAAAAATATAAATTAATATAAATATAAAAATATAGATAAAAATATGCATATTTTTTCTAACATCAAGCTTTTAGGTTAATGTATAATATTCATAAGGGAAAGTGCAAAATTCAAAATCTGTGAACAAGTTTTTCACAATTTTTTATGATATTTTTGTAGATTTTAAATAGTCCATCCGTGTGAAAAAATGCATTCATTTTTTATGTGATATCTTAAATAATATGAGATCATGTATAATAATAATAACAACAACAACTATTCTTATTGTTATTAATAAGAATATTTACTTAAAAAGTTGATGCTCTTATGTTGGCACAAATAATTAATGATTATTATTCTAAACAAAAATTATTGTATTAATAAAATAGCTACTACAACAATAATTTCATTTAATTTAATAATTTCATTTAATTTAATTTACAAGAATTACAAACATGCCGTTTAAAAACTTATATACCCATATCCAGGCTTTCTCCACCTTTGGACAAATGAATTTCCTCTGCTTTTTATTTGGATGAAGATTTGGAAAATAATTTTATAGAGACAAACAGCAATTTCTAGCCAATTAAACATTTTAAAGCATATTTTCCATGACCAAGATTTTACAGTATTTTCTCCAGTTCAAAATATTTTTAAAAATCCCTGATATGCCCAGGTTTTCTATTACGGTAGGAACTCTCATTCAAACTCAACGTCAACAACCCTTTTATTATCATGAAGATAGAAAAGCTTTCAGAAAGTGCTGAACGTGTGGCTTCAACAGGAAACAGGAACTCACCAGAAGCTCTTTGTACTTTGGCCTTTTTGACTCGTCCTTTGTAAGGCTGTTAGAAACAAAAAAAAAAAAATTCAAAGATTTAATTAAAACCCTCCAAAGTCAACTTGAGCTCTTGCAGTTGCTATGATTGAGCAGCAGGAGGCGTCGTGTGCATCATGTGGTTGCACAATAAATCTGAGTAATGACTTCCCTTGTGCTGAGTCAGCAAGCTCTCAGAAAGAGGAAATGCTGGAGATCACAGTCTGTGTGTGTGTGTGTGTGTGTGTGTGTCTCACCACAGGTTGACGAAGTTGATGAATTTGGGGGAGAACTGTCTCTCCTCTGAGCAGCTGAGCTGCGGCGGGTCGCCCTTCACCACCTGCGTCAGCTGATCGAACACACTGTTCCACTTCGGGTAGGGGAACCGTCCCGTGGCCAGTTCATACTGAAACAGCATTGCAGCAGTATAACACACAAAAAGCAGATAGAAATCACTTTTGTAATATCACACAGACGTTCCCTTTGAGGTCACGTGACCGATCACACATCATCCTCACCAGTGTGATTCCCAAACTCCAGACGTCTGAGCGCACATCATAACCCTGTTTGGAAGCGCTGGGGTCTATCCTCTCTGGCTGAGAGACAAACACACCGAGTCAATCATGCAGACACGACATTAATTCATAAAGAATAAATACATTTTGCAGCTCTTAATTTGGCATGAAGTATGCATGCAATTCTAAAGAAAAATTACTAGTACTATTATTTTTATTATTTATGATGATGATGATTAGTTAATGATGTTGTTTTTTATGAATAAATATTTTAATCTCTACACATTTATGTAATTACATTTTTTGGCCAATAATTATGAAAATTATTAAAAAAAAAATTTTTTTGTTGTTGTTGTTTCTTTTAATCTAAAAATGTTACAAAAAGTGACCTAAAATAACACTGTTATAAATATAAGATAAATAAAAAAATAAATATAAGAAATAATGTACTACAATTTTTGGAATTGGGTTTTTCTGCTGAAGCACTGGCAGGAAAAAAACAATATTAAACAAACAAAAAAAATCCCTTTATTAAGCAATAAGTTTAATAAAATGAAAATTAGATAATGTTTGTTTCACTCAGAGATACCTCACACTGCTGGAGTTAAATGCACTGTAAAAGCTGAATATTTCATGACATCAAAATGGACTATTTACTTTCTTTAATTTTGCTGCTCTTATTTTAGCATGAATCATCAGTGTATGTTATTCTAAAGAAAACAAAATGTAATATTTATCATTATTATTATTATTATTATTAATACTATTATTACTTATTCATTTTATGAATAAAAGGTAATCATTTCCTAGAGCATGTTATTCAAGTTATTGTTGTTTTATTTTATTTTATTAATAAAAAATATCAATTTCCTCAATTTCTGAATCAAATTCCTGTTTCAATCAGAAATGCCTCACACTTTTGAGGGTACATGCGTTGCGAATGCTGTTTAAGGTTTCATTGTCAAGATTATTTCATTCAGATGCTCTTTTGGCATGAATCAGCTGTGCATTTAGTCTAAAGACCAAAAAAATAAAAAATAAAAAATTCTATTATTTAAAAAACTAAATTTCCTGAATATAATTTCTGCTGAAACTTAAATGTTTTATGCTGACATATACAGTAAAGTCAAGTACAGTCCTACATCACTTACTGCTGAATATCATAATTCACTCAGAACTACATCAGACTTCTGAGGTTAGCTGTGCTGAAGATGCTGTTTCATGCTTCACTTTTTCAACTGGCATAGTTTTAGAAACCTAAGATCATGGGTTCACTTCTAAGGACACACACACACTGATAAAATGTCTTGCTCTGGATAAATACATAAATGTGAATTGCAAGAGCGCAGCAGGGTGCTTTTGCAGCATATCAGACTGTCTGCTCCGATCTGGCTGCTTTACAGGCCCAAACACGACAAAAACAGATGTGCTCCCGTCACACACTTCCGTCCAGACAGCAGCAGGAGTGTGTGTGTGTGTCTCTGATGCTGACAGACTGCTGATGTCATAATGCAGTGTGAGGAGACTCCGGGGGTGATGATGAGATCATGGCTCAGATTAGAGTATGACGACATCAGCAGCAGCAGAGCCACTGCAGAGCTGAGCTTCATTCACAGACACTCCTGCAGTTACATCATTCTACAGCGCACACTCGGCTTCAAAAAGGATGAGAGGAAATTACAGAGTTTCTAATTATTTCTATAATTAATTTTTTTGGCCAATAATTATGAAAATTATCAAATGGTTTTTTTAATCATCTAAAAATTTTACAAAAAGTGACCAAAAATAGCAATGTTACAAAAAAAAAAACACACACACATTTGAATAACACTTATTGTAGCAAAACAAATTCTGCATCAATGCATGTCCAAAAAACTTTGTTATAAAAACATTATACGGAATAAAAAAATTTGAACATGCATATTTATTATGTTTGTTTATTATATATTTTTGTTTATATAAATAATACAGGTGCATCTCAATAAATTAGAATGTCGTGGAAAAGTTACAGCAGTAGTTTAAGTCTTTGGTTCTTTTAATTGTGATGATTTTGGCTCACATTTAACAAAAACCCACCAATTCACTATCTCAGCAAATGAATGAATCTTACTGCCATATACGGTCTGCAGCCTGCGTCTCTGGTTTTGGCGATGGAGTCGACCAACTGCCCGCTGATGCCAAAATCACACAGCTTAATGTTGCCTTTCCGGTCCAGGAGGATATTTGATGGCTTTATGTCTGCAGAAAGACCAGGAAAGAGCTTCAGTCCGAGTAAAACAGAACTCATTCATATCCAAACCCACTTATACCTCCTCAACAAAAACACGCAAACAGAAATAAACCGATAGAGGTCAGAAATGAAAGACTTCTAGAAGACGCCATTATAATTCTGCCTCTCTTACCTCTGTGAATAATTTTCAAGTTTTCTTTTAAGTGGTTAAGTGCTTTCACAGTCTGAAACGACAACGAGAACAAAGAGCATGTTAATGAAAGCATCACTCAGTAAACGCCAAAGAACACTGAACGGATGACAACTCACAGCTAATGTGATTTTCCCTAAAATCTCCTCTGGAATCACTTCGTCTAAAGAGGAATAAACGTATTTGTAGAATTTGTCGAAGGAGGTAGACATGAGCTCCATGCATATCCAGCAATCCCCCTGAACGAGAAACAGACCGAACAAAGGTCATGAATCAGAAAGACTCTCAGAATATGAGACGGCATGCCAAAAACGGCCAGACCTCTCTGAAAAGAGCCCCGTAAAACTGGACGATGTAGGGACAGTCGCTGCTCCTCATGACCACATCCAGATCCATCAGCAGCTGCTTCTGTTCGCGCTCGTCTACCGTCGACCGGATCCGCTGTCACACAAACACACAGACAGAGTCATGACTGTCAGCTAGGGATGTAACGATTAACCGCGAGCCGGTTGAAAATCGATCCAAATAGTGATGATTCAAATCGGTTGAGATGCTAAACAAATCACGATTCAATTAGGGGTAGGAGTTTATATGAATGTATGTCTGAGGGGAACTTTAGAAAAGTTTAGATGGTATTTTTATTTTTACTCTTGCCTCTGTATAAAGCATATTAAAGTTAATAAGTGCAGCGCTGCTTTGTTTACAGCGGAAACCAAGGAAACGGTTTAAGCGCCACCTGCTGGCAGAGAGAGAATCTGCATCTCGTTCAGCTCGTCTGCTGTTTCTGTTTCATGCAGATATTTATGTCACAAAACTGAAGTCAGACCATTCGGTTTTTGCTTCAGATATCGCTTCAAATGAGGACAATAGAAGCAATCAAAACCAACAAAAGAGCAATAATATGCAAGTGCTATATTAGTATATTATTATAGTGTTATATTTCAATTTCACAAATAAACGTGCAGCATTTTGTCCAAGCAATAATAAAAGGACACATTTAATTCATAATTTGTCTTAAATCTCATTTTGTTAAAGGGGTCATATGATGCTTTTTTAAAGATCATTACTTTGTGTATTTGGTGTAACAGAATATGTTGACATGCTTTAATGTTCAAAAAACACATTATTTTTCAAATACTGTACATTATTGTAGGTCCTCTATGCCCCGCCTCTCTCAAACACTTCGTTTTCTACAAAGTCCCTCCTTCCGACAAGCGCAGTCTGCTCTGATTGGCCAGCTGACCCAGTGCATTGTGATTGGC